AACCTAGGCAACAGAAGAACCTCTAGATCTGTTCCTTTCAATTTTCAGTTCCTCTTCTCCCTCCCTCCCAGACCCCCAAAATCAAACTCCAAAATATCTGATTTTTTTTCTATATATATCCAAATAAAAAATAAAATAAAATGAAATAGATAAAAAAAACTTGCTCCGTCAATCACTAATGATGCCGATTTTGTCTGGTATGTGCTATTTTTTCTGTATGGCTGTAGCGTGCAGGAGGCAGGGGCGCGGGATTGGGTGTAGAGTGCAGCAGTACAGGGGCGCAGGCGGCAAGGGCTGGTTCGGTGCAGCAGCAGGGGGGCGTAGGAGCGCATGATTGTGGGGCGCAGGAGCGCATGATTGTGGGGCGCAGGAGTGCATGATTGCGCGCAGGCGTGCAGGGGAAGCGTAGAAGGCATGGGATCTGAGCGCAGAAGGCACGGTCGAGCGCAGAGCAGAGAGCAGGGGCGCCCAATCCCGCGCCCCTGCCTCCTGCACGCTACAGCCATACAGAAAAAACAGCAAATACCAGACAAAATCGGCATCATTAGTGATTGACGGAGCAAGTTTTTTTTATCTATTTCATTTTATTTTACTTTTTTTTTGGATATATATAGAAAAAATAAGATGAGGAGGAGAGTGCAGGAGGCGCAGGCTCGATGCAGCAGTACAGGGGCGCAGGCAGCAAGGGCTGGTTCGGTGCAGCGGCAGGGGGGCGTAGGAGCGCATGATTGTGGGCCGCAGGAGTGCAGGGGAAGCGTAGAAGGCACGGGATCTGGGCGTAGAAGGCATGGGATCTGGGCGCAGGAGGCACGGTCGGGTGCAGAGCAGGGAGCAGGGGCGCAGGCGCAAAAGGCTCGGGTGTAGGTGCAGGGCGCAGAGGGGAGAGTGCCGAGCAAGGCCGGGCGTAGGAGCAGGGGCGCTGGTTCGGGAGGGTGCCGATTCTGGAAGAAAAGGAGCAGGTCGGGGTGAGGAGGAAGAAGAAGGTTCGCAGGCGCAAAAGGCTCGGGTGTAGGTGCAGGGCGCAGAGGGGAGAGTGCCGAGCAAGGCCGGACGTAGGAGCAGGGGCGCTGGTTCGAGAGGGTGCCGATTCTGGAAGAAAAGGAGCAGGTCGGGGTGAGGAGGAAGAAGAAGGTTCCGGAGAGCAAAAGATTCAACT